ATCATTATTATTATTATTATTATCATTATTATTATTATTATTATCATTATTATTATTATTATTATCATTATTATTATTATTATTGTTAATTTATTTCTTTTTTAGTTCAGATTTTGTGATTTAGTATTATTATACGCTTAATGTCTGGTCGCGAGAGAAATAGTTAGTTTTGTTTTTCCGTGAGTCTCGTTTATATTTTCACCATTCTCGTCACGTGCAACTTAATTCCCGACCAGTATTAAATAAGTTACTTATTTCCCGGTCGGGATATATTTAGATTTAACTAGTGTCACGTGGTCATCTTTCAACCAATGAGATTATTCGTTATAACGGAAAATTTCGTAGCTATATAACAATTCGCTTCGTGGTTTTTACGGAGGAAGAAACACCGGAAATTCGAATAAAGGGTGCGATACGACAAAGTATAATCAAATGTGAATCTCAGTCCAAGAGAGGAGTGTATACAATCACAAAAAGAACAGGCGGTCACATCCATTCCACCAGGCCCGGCGCAGAAGTACATAAGAGCCGAGTGTGCTCATAAGACCTCTCGTGCCGTCGTAAAAAGCACTATTCAAGCATAGGCCAAGTAAAAGAAATGTTCCTCGTCCGGATTTTTAAAAGAAAAAGAGCACACAGGCGCTTTTTTTCTCCTAACGCTAACTTTTTATTTAGTCAAAACGCAGACAAATACCATGTCTATTTACAAAATAATCTAGGGTATAAAGTAAAAGTAACGCCAGTTACTTTTTATTCTTTTCCCATTTTTCCAATGATAAATATTAAAAAGATTGCTTTTTTTTACTTGGTCTTATAAAGGGGTTTTCTTCTTCAGCACGAAACCTATACAGACTTACAAAGATTGTTCGACAATCAGAAAGACTCCTCCTCATCATCTCCGTCATCTTCTTTTGACTATGAGTGGTCAGGATGGATGATATGTATAGTTTCTTCAGGAGCACTGCTGGCGCTCTTGATCGCGGTAGGCATGGTACACCAAATCTGCCATGCCAGACAATATCAACTAGCTGGCCGTGGTAAGTCATCATCCTCGGGAACCCAGGGGTAAATTTCTGTCGCTCGCTTCTCGCTCCTTTTTTTACTCTGAGCGACAGAACTTTACGGAAAGGAGCGACAGTATTTTACCCTTGGTTGTAAGAAGATTCATTGGACGTCCTTATACGTTATGTTAATATTCAATTTCATTTTTTGAGGACCACAAGTTTTTTAGTGTACGTACACTATTACGTATTTATCTTCTTGAATCCAAGTCATTATTATCATCGTCATCATCATCATCAACACCATCATTATTTCACCATCATCATTAATTATGATTATCATCATTATGATTATTATTATTATATTATTAATAGAGAATAGTCCAAGGTATCTAGGAGGCCACAGGCCAGAAGAAACGCAGGCTCTGGCTACGAGATTGGCCGATATATTGAATCGTTTTTGACTTGATGATCTTATTATTTTAACAGGTCATTCGATATCCAGGGATTCTTTACGGCAAAGATTAAGTGGACGATGTCACGGAGCCCAGACGAAATGCTGATAAACAACAACCACGAAAATCATTTTACTAGTACGGTTCTACACATTTTTTCAATATAAGGATATTGTTCTAACTGTCTTAAACGTAAAAATATCCAAGTATGGTAAATCTCCAAGGAATTTAATAAAATAAAATTGAAGAATAAAAGCTCTTTCAATGTATAATATATCTTTGCGCATTGATTTGTCAAATTTTGATGAGCTGTCAAATCAAAATTACATTTTGATGCCATGTCAGTTCGCTCGAACCCGGCCACATGTATTCATTGATGTTTGCGGTTGATGTTGAAACGCGTCGTATTATCCCGGGGGGGGGGGGGGGGGACCCCCCCCCCCCTTGGGGGGGGGGGGGGCCCCCGGCCAGACAAAAAGGACACCCTATCCCAGACAAAAT